CTCATTAACCTATTCAGACATTGACATAATTTTCAGCCGATCCGAATTTTCTCGTGTGAAAGTGGAAATAGTAGTAGTAAAATATCAACCCTTACACTAAATCTACCATTTTCAGAACAACCACCAAGGCCGTTGAACGAATTTATTTCTATACCTGAGGACTAATGATATGTCTAGACTTTTCGGAAACAAATAATTTTTATATAAAAAGTTGGCTTCAAGAATCTATGTAACAAATAATGTTTGTACCAAAATATCATCCGATATTCAAACCCTCTCCATGTTTAACATCAACAGTTATACAAAACGTCATCGCCTAGTGGAATGTTATCCCGTCATGCAACAGATTTACAATCAACATGTCGTCCACGTGTCATGGAAGGACCGGTACCCTTGTTCCTCCTGGACATCAGCTGCCTGTGTTTGTAAATAGTTCAAGGTTAGAGTGAGCTACAGTACCTCCCCACCACCCCCACACGCTGCCCCGCACCGGGTCAACCTAGTGTCCCACATATGCACACCAATATTGTGAAACTATTGACAGATCTTATGACGTCAGGGGTCAACTGAGGAGGTACTATTCGGGGAAAATATTTGCAAACTCGCTTTACTTGGAACATTATGGAGTCCTATAAGGGATTCGAACTGGGAAAGTGGGGCAGCAAATCACCAGGAAATCAATATTCTCACTCTCAGGGTCATTTCATTCATTCGGGAAGGATTAATCCGCAGTTATTCATAGCTCGTTCCCAATTCTCTAATCATCACATCCTTGTTATCTAACAAAGTTGACGTTTTCAGGTAAGTATTTATCTGGTCATTCGATGAGATAACAAATACGTGACAAGAACATACAGATTCTCCATTTGTTTTTCCTAGATTATGTGCACTCAACAGTTTATCAGTTATTTCACATGTCACATTTTAGAACATGCCAAGACAGACAAGACAGGTTCGTTATCGTTTTACGAAAGTGTAGACAACTGCCTCCTATCTAAAATATTGAAGAATCCTGTCCATGTGACGTCATTTAATATCATTAACATGACGTCAGTTGAAGAGTCAGTATTGATGATGTCACTACGATGAAATACGCTGTTTCTGATATAGATATCACGTGATATATCATTAACATAAATTGACATCACATATGAAATCCCCAGTCATAATGTTTTTGATCCTCAAAGGCCGCCCGGTGAAGCACATTGAAGAGCGATGTACAGCAGTGGGAGACCCCCATGGGAATTAATGTACAATGGTTAAGTACAACCAGTTTATATTAACTGCCTGGTGATAATGCCTGGTTATAATGTATTGTGGAACGGATTTCAGCACTTCTGTGTTACTTTCATAACACCCACCTGGTGATAATGCCACGTGTATTGTGAAATGGATATAGGTACTTCCGTGTTACTTTTATAAAACCAACCTGGTTAAATATACTTGAGTGACAATAAAGCACTGGACACAAAAACAATGAAGAAAATTCCGATTCGGGTCATGCTGATATATTTTATCTTGAAAATCCATTACAGTAAGAAATTTTCACAACTATTATTTGCAAATATCACATACAATCTTGAAATATCACATACTATCTTGAAAATCAAGTTATTTTGTTGAAAATTCAAGATACAATGAATTCAGCAACAGCACTTTCTGCTTGGCCTGGTAAGCATTTTACCATTCAGAATAGCATCTTAATTTTCAAGATACACAATAACACTTGTGTGGTATAAATGACCTCTGCAGGTAGGTCATAAATGATAATTATAGCTAAAATACATGGAATTATCATGAAACGGCCCTCCCATTATCAGAAATTTGCGGGCCGCTGCAAATGATATTGGACCGCTCAACCTTAACGACGGGCCACTATCAGTTCTGTTGTCAAGTGACGTCATAGTGGGTGCATGGGCTTACGGTTCATTCGACATTAATTGGCTTTCGACTGGCAGATATTCTGGGTAAAACAAGTCAAAGCAACCCGAATTCCCGCTTTAAATAGCGGTAATATTGGCTTTCTTGTTGGCGCTAACCTTAACAATTAAGGCTGTTGATGGACCAAAACAGAACACTGACATAGTTTGACATGTTGTAGGCTATGGTATTGTCAAAGGCCAAGGTCGAATATCGTCACTTTCTGTTGTGACGTCACTTGAATTGTTCGATGACGTAATTGCATTCGGGCAGTCAACCCCGTCAGAAGTTGATTTGGGTAAAGTTACAGTCAAATTTCTTCATTGTTTCCTTTTTCTTTTCAATACAAATTCCAGGTATTTTAGCAATAAGAATGGTAATGCTATTTTTGAGGGCATTATCATTGGCAGAAGCCCTCGGTCTTTTTCAATTGCCCTCCTTTGTCGGGCAGTTAATGGAAGACCTTGGGCTTCTTCAAATGATAATGCCCTCAAAAATAGCATTGCCCATTTATATTATTGGATTAGAATTGAAGGTATCTTACAAAATAAATATCAGCTTGAAGACATCGCAGTTTCTTAGGAGGCATTTGAACTTTCATTATTTTATTCACATCAGAAAACCCTGTGACATATTCAACCCTTATACAATACACAAACAAACATGATTCCCTTTCAATGTACTTTACAGCAAGTGTTGATTTTGGTTTGAAATGTTTCACTTTATGATTGACTGTTACCACTACATTTACAACATTGATACAATGAAAGACCAAAACAAAGCTACAGGTATCTACAGCAGATCTGTTCGCGCAAATTGATCTTCCACAAAACAGTCACAACAAATACACCTAACTAATATGTGAAAGCACTTGCCAATATGTAAACAACATCCACAGTTTCCAATGGATACATAAGATGACATGGTGACCAGAACTAATTAATCAAGTAAATTCCACAGCTACAATGTGATGTGAAACAGGTGTGAAACAAACAATGACATCTTTTAACCCGTGTCCCATAGGTACAAGCAGAACACTTCATTCTCCGAAGCCATAACATTTTCAGCTAGCAATAATTCGTTTACCTATCATTAAAATAACATTTTCACTATTTTATCAATGGTCGGCTTCCACTTTGATAGTGTCTTATGCATTTCACCCCATTCGAGGAAATGGGTATTGTTTCTATGTAAATCTAATGAATATATACTCTTAAAAAAAGAAAATATCCATAAGAAAATTTGAATTTTAAGAAAATATTTGACAGAATCCAATCCATGCTGAATCCCAACATGTGGCGGAATGGTTGCCGACGACAAATCTTTTGAAAAAAGATAAACCTTAAACAAACATGTAACGTTACACTCACGTCTGTAGTGAATCGCTAAAACGCACCCTACATGAAATTCACGTGCATCATGAAATTGTGTATCACCTTGAGCTGAAGCCTATGACTGTAGGCTTTAAAAAGCCACATCAGTGGTACTCCACATGCATTGCTTTAAGCCACTATAGACGACAAGAGAATGAAAAGAGTTACAGAAGCTCAACGACAGAACGCCATTGGCCGTTTACAAGGACGGTCACTGCAGCAAGAGGTGGCAAGGCACTTCAGCGTGTCCAGACAGACCATCTCAAACCTATGGACCCGATACAACAATACTGGGGGTGTTAATGACAGACCCAGGTCAGGTCGACCCAGAGTTACCACCGCCGCCCAGGATCGCTACATCCCATTGAGATAACTTCATTGAAACACCACGGCCGCATCATCCACGACAGTCCAAATCCCTGGACTGCGCCGAATCTCGGACCAGACAGTGCACAACTGGTTATTTGAAGCCAGACCTTTTGCCAGAAGACCAGTTCAACGTCACGTCGTTCCCTTCATCAACGTCAACGGCTGATCTTTGGAGCATGAAAATGCTTGACCTCACGTTGCACGTGTTTGACAGGACTTCCTCCAGCAAAACAATGTTCAGGTCTTACCTTGGCCTTCTCGATCACCCGATTTGTCCCCCCATTGAACATCTGTGGGATACTCATGACGCTTGGGCCAGCGTAATCCACCACCTCAGACACTACAAAAACTGCACACAGCGCCTCAGCGAGAGTAGCAAACATTCCTCAACACAACGATACTGACATTTTACTCTGACCAAGTGGCTTTAACGGTCCTCTGTCGTTTTACCAAACGCTTTATAGATAACTATGTTTTTGAAATTTGTAAAGTGATAACTTAATTGAGCAATGGTGTCATGTTTGAATCAGTTATATGCATTCAGAAAGTAAACTCAAAAACAACATGTATAGATTCTTTTTTTTGAAGAATATAGTGTATTCTTGTTCGGGTTTAGAGGACACATAATCGTGACAGTTACTCTCTATACCTTATTTGCGTCCTCCACATCAGATGTAACATGACGTTTTGTGTCAATGTCAGAGGATTTTCTGGAACATCTGCCATTCTTGATTTGTTTTCGACAAGCATGTTTAACGAGAAGGAAAGTGCGTTTGTTTGCCATGAAAGCCAAAAAGATGAACACGCCCTGAGCCCCAGTCAGACAAATAAACAGGTACGAGAAAACCTGACTGCTTCTGTCAACCATTTGTAGAAAACCGAAGACCCAGGAGAAACCAGTGATGCTAGATAGTTTGATGTACATTAAAATGTTCCATTTGTCACCATTGCCAACCTTTCGTCTGTTGGCTGAGGCCCTACACAGGTTAACGACGGTCAAGATGAAGAGAGTAAAACTGACCAGTATGGTAACTCCTGCTGGAACCAACAACCCAACGATACTGTTGGTTCCATTTGAGACGAAGCAGAAGTTTGAGGTATCTGCATAACCAAAGGATTCAGACCCAGAGACGAAGTAGTTTGCTGTTATCGTTGCAGCAATAACAACAGCAGGAGTGCCATAGCCAAAGATGCAGTATTTGAGGATGATTGTCTTTTTGTTGGATTCAAAACTCCGAGATGCAAATACGTCCTTAAAGACTCTGAAGGTGTGGAAAGAAGAGATGTTGAGCCAACAGAAGGATGCAAGCCAGAAGAAGTGGATGGCTACTCCGATCGCTATACAAGTTGAACGATTGTACGCCTGGGCACTCCCAAAGAAGAAGGTGGCAAGAACAAAGATGCCGACAAGAACATGAGAATCACGCCAGGAAGATTCCTCAGACTAGAGAAGAAACAGTGCAAGATGAAAGTCAGAAGCAGGAACACTTGGCTAGACACCAGACAGGTGTTCGTCAACACCACAGTTGTGCGGTTAAGATCAATTTTAAACTTTGTGTTTGAACCTTGTGAACCAAGAGCTGTCACGCATATTTTCAGTTGTCCTTTCGGTGTGAGGACGAAATCACTTTCATTTATGACCCTACCACCTTTCAGAACTACAGATCCATTGGGGTATATGTTGAATGTTGAGTTGTTTAAGATGATATGATTACACTGCAACCTTGAAGTTGTTGATTGTGTATCAGCTGTTTTAAGGACGTGTCCAGGAGATGTGTTGGTTGATGCTGTGACTGCTGACTGCTCGTGTGATGACTCTTCGTCTACAGTTCTTGGTGTCCGTCTCGTCCCCGTGGTGTTGTGGTGCCGTGAATTGTAGTTGTGTGTAATCGGGGAAGGAGTGGGGTAAGGGTTAGGGTTAGGGTTAGGGTTAGGGGTAGGTTCATTAATTGGTATGACATAGTTTTTTCTGGTAGGTGAAGAAGGCGGCGATATAGAATCTCTTGTAGTGGAAGGGGAATTTACGAGAATTGTTGTAGAAGGTTTTACATGGGTGCTTGTCGTAAGTGATTGCATGTGTTTTCTTGTCGTATACGGTGGTTTCACGAGTGGTTTGGTTGTAGAATGTGGTTTGGTGTTTGTTCTTGAAGTCGAAGGTGCTGATGTGTATTCCCACGTCGTAGGACGCTGTGATGGTGTTTTGTATTGCGAGGTCATGTAACAATTCTGAAACAGGGATTGTTCTCATTATATAATGCACATTCATCTGCAGAACACCACAGATCTAAACGTAGATAGATAGACATAGTGATAAATGTGACTTTACAGAAACATGCTAAAGTATCAGTACATACGATTTACACAGTGAAACAAGATTTCAGACTAACTTATTATCAAAATGAAATGTCCTGCCACTAGAATGTCTTCTCTTTATTTTTCGAACTCAGTGTTTATTAAGAGAATCAATACAAAACCCCAACCCTAACCCCAGCCTTTAGAATATCATCTGGTCTGTTCCTCATAGAGTGAGTGAATGAGTTTAGTTTTAAGCCGCTTTAAGCAATATTTCTGCAATATAACGACCGGAGACACTAGAAATTGGGTTCACACCTTGTGTCCATGTGGGGAATCGAACTCGGGCCTTCGACGTGATGAGCGAACGCCTTAGCCACCCCACCGCCACTGTTCCTCACAGAGATTATTACGGGAGTGTAAATGTCGACTAATTTTACATAGCGTGAGCTGTTCGAAGAAGTACTAGGGTACATTGTAGGTATATACCTATATATAGGTAACTCTACCTTAGCATTATATCATGCAGTACATGTAGCTTTTCAATATCACAGCAGTCAGTTGAAGGAATGTAAATTTGCAATGATTGTGAAGCTAAAATCTTACCTCGAAGTAGTAGACTTGGCCACTAGAACAGGGATCTCTTTGGGAGCCGTCTCTATTGAGGAACTCGTCCAAAGAATTTCCACCTATCGAAGTCTGGGGGAGTGAAATAGATGTTTGAAGTGCTTGTTTTGTTGAACCAACATCTGTCGAGGTTATTTTAGAGACAAACGTTGTCCTCACAGAATCAGTTGTGAACAGTACGGGATTACATACATACATGCACGCACGCACACACACGCACGCACGCACACACACGCACGCACGCACGCACGCGCGCGCGCGCGCACACACACAAACACATAAAGTGGTAACGTTATGAAAAACATGGCGTGGTGTGATATCTTTTTCCATGTGGACAGTAAACCAGTATGTCGATGGCATTAATACACCTTCATTATTATCTTTAGTTCATGAAACATTAGGTCTCTATAGTGAGTAGCCTGTATAAGGAATGCATCTTTAAACTGTGATTATGCATACTCAGCAAAATTAAAAACTTGACACTGATAAATTTCGACGTTTTTCTTTTTCTGATTATTCAAATAAATTTACTAGTATATGAAACAGTAGTAAACAGTGTGAATGCTTTAATTTCGTGAAATTGTAACTTCACGTGCAAACCTTGACTTTGAAGCCTTTAAAGATGAAGAAAACGAAATGCATGTGTGAAAGGCAAATTAGGTCATTCGGTGCATGTTTGCTTAAACTGAACACGCTGAAAAAAACAAAACTTGGTATTTTAATCTTTGTTTGGAAATGCCACGCCTTTCAAATCAAGAACGTCAACCTGCTATGGGGAGGCTGGATGCTGGTCAGTCTGTGGTCGCTGTTGCAAGAGCCTTTAATTGCTCACGACAAACAATCTTTAATCTCAGGATGTGAGTGCATGAAACCGGAACTCTTGCCGACCGCCCGAGACCGGGAACGTCACATGTGACGTCACTCCAGGGAGATCAAACAATACGATATACGTCATCTTCGGCACAGATTTGTTACTGCAACTTCCACAAGTAGGGGTATATTTTGTGGAAGGATAGCTGCACAAATTGTCAGGTATCGCTTGCGTGCGGCTTGACTTCGCTCCCGAAACCCCATATTGGACCAATTTTAACGCCTCCTCATCGCCGCCACAGACTGGTGTGGTTCACAATACTCATAAGGTTCAACCATAGACAGTGGAATTCCATTGTCTTCAGCGACGAATTTCGGCAGGGTCCGAGTGTACCGCGGGCTAGGTAAACGTCACGCTCAAGACTGCGTTCGTGAAGTGGACAGATTTGGTGGCGATAGCGGTAAGGGTTCGTTTTGCGCACGCGGACGTTCTCCCTTGGTGTCGATTGAGGTAACTTAAATGCTGCCCAGTACAGGTCTTAGATTTTGCAACCTGCCGTGCTCCAATTATGCAGATACATCGCCTTGGACTGACGTTCCAACAAGTCAACGCTTCAACGCATACGGTAATTCTTACACAGAAGTTTCTTGATTGGCCGTCGCGAAGCCCCGACCTCATTCCTATCGAACACATCTGGAACGAGCTGGGTCGACGTGTTCGTCAGGAAGTCAATCCACCACACACGTTGCAAGATCTTCAACGTCACCTTGTTGAGCAATGGCGACGTCTTCCTCGGGTTGTGTTAACTAACGTTCTAAGATCCATGAAGAGACGTTGTGTGGCTGTAAGAGACGCTAGTGGAGGTCACAATCCTTACTGAAGACCTCAATCGAATTGTTCTCTACGCTGTGAACGTTATGGAGGGTACCTTGACATCATGAACGTTATGGAGGGTACCTTGACATCATGAACGTTATGGAGGGTACCTTGACATCATGAACGTTATGGAGGGTACCTTGACATCATGAACGTTATGGAGGGTACCTTGACATCATGAACGTTATGGAGGGTACCTTGACATCATGAACGTTATGGGGGTACCTTGACATCATGAACGTTATGGAGGGTACCTTGACATCATAAACGTTATGGAGGGTACCTTGACATCATGAACGTTATGGAGGGTACCTTGACATCATGAACGTTATGGAGGGTACCTTGACATCATGAACGTTATGGGGGTACCTTGACATCATGAACGTTATGGGGGTACCTTGACATCATGAACGTTATGGAGGGTACCTTGACATCATGAACGTTATGGGGGTACCTTGACATCATGAACGTTATGGAGGGTACCTTGACATCATGAACGTTATGGAGGGTACCTTGACATCATGAACGTTATGGAGGGTACCTTGACATGAACGTTATGGAGGGTACCTTGACATGAACGTTATGGAGGGTACCTTGACATCATGAACGTTATGGGGGGTACCTTGACATCATGAACGTTATGGGGGGTACCTTGACATCATGAACGTTATCGGCGAGACTTCTTTTTTTGGTTTTCATTTGCTGACAAGATGTTCTGTGTACAGCATACTTCTAACATTATTGTCTTAACCCCCTGGCTGCCGAGTTTTTTTTCAGGCGCACATTTTCATACGCTTTGAAAAGTGAACGTTGTGCGAGAATTGCTCTCGCGTGGTTCTGGATCTACGTAAGGCTATAAAATTACACAGAAATGTAGAATATTAAATTTCCTATCCGTTGGTATAAATATAAGTGCAACTACCTTGGCGGTTTGAGAAATAGACCTTGCTAATTGTTGTCCAAATTTTTGTTATGCGTTAAAAAGCAGTAAATTTCTCCGCTTTTTATCGCGCACCGATAAAAGCACTGTGCTACGAATTTTTTAATGGGGCATCTTTACGGAAAGTGTGAGCGAAGAAAATACAGCCTGATATCTGAACGACATAAGTGTATATGAATTGGGTTTATGTGCTTGTGCATAACGTTATACGCTCAACATTAAAAATGACTCGCAATAAATGTCAAAAATGTATTTTCTTCTATGACGTCAAACGACGACAGAGAGGTCATACACGTATAATGATAAGGGGGCATAACTCCGTTATGCGTAACACTAGGTCAATGTAACTCAGATCACTTGGAGAGAATTTGTTGTGGATACGGACGCTATATTTTCGTTATTTTATATTCATGGTGAACCACACTATTCCAATTCAAAGTTCCCCAATGTGAACGGATGCGCTTTGGTAGTTTCACAATTTATAAGAAAAGATGACAACGTATTACATGTGAAAGCACGTAATAGCGATTTGAATGGCCCTATCCGATATATAAGTTAGTTCTTAGATTCCCATATTCTCCTGTTTGTGTAGATATAATTATAATTTGACTAATTTTGCATCGTTATTACCAAAGTACTAGCCATATCTTCAAATGTAACGAAGTTGCTGAAAATAATACAACATTTTAGTTGACGTCATCGCTTTTTTATGCATTTTGCGACGTCAGAAAAAGACGACATTGGTATGCTGATTAGTATATATCTCACTTAATTTCCATTAATTGTATCAAAGGTCTAGACTTCTATGTCAGAATTTAACACTCTTTAGACAAAACATAAAATGACTGATTTTTCCATTTAAATAGTGTCCTGAATATATCAACAATTAGACAGTTTGACAGCGTATCTTATTGTGAAAAACACGCGCACCTGTTTGGCATCAATTTAACGTAAATAAAAATAATATTTCCCAACACCCGAATATTTTGTTTGGGATAAGAATTTTGTTTGTTTATGATTATGAAGCTATTTCTCTTCATACGTATGCAATGAAAGATGCATAAGGATAGCTTTTTTATATATGGAACTATATATTAGAATATGGATATAAGATTTGTCCGAATTAACACATGAGATGGTATATATATTTTTCAACAATTTTCCTATAAGTAGATAGAGTTTGATATCCTGTCATCACAATATTATTTAATCGAATATGAATTGAATATATTATCGAAAACAATGATAGAGAATCATAAAACGTTTCCAACAAACGCGCACCTTGCCGATCTATATGCATAATTCTTTTGTCTATAAAACGACACAAAATTATGCAAATGAACAAGACAATTCCTTTAAATATGTGTGCATATACATTTCATACCATATATAAATCATTGTCATTAATATTATCAGTTTTGCATATAAGGTTGAATTATATCACCGTTCATTAACCTGTTCATATGAAATTGCAATATTAGTCCAAATAAATTGAATATTGTACATCATAGGAACTACAGTAGATGCAGTTATGGCTACGTTTGATCTTCTAACACTTGTGTAAAGGTTAAAAAAAGGTGTATTGCAATAAATATGTCAATTTCTTATGTAAATATGATTCAAACAATCAAAAACTTTCAAAGAATAAAACACCGTAAACCCCATATGCACATATGATATGATATTGAACAAGGCTAAATGTAGATACTGAAGTCAGTTTCATGAAAAAGCATCCGAACTATCCGCAAAATATGCATCATAATACTGACAGTGTAATCGGAAGGATATGGCGATTGTGTTTACTCTTGTTCGACCGACCTTCACCTCAAAGAAATTGCCTAATTTGTAGAACAATGTTGACGTATGACATCACTACCGCTGACCGATTTCTTACAAAATGGCGGCTTTGCTGAGAAGGGTACATAGGATTTTGCGAGGACCCTTCCACTGATTCAGGGATCGTTTGTACATAAATATGAGATGTAAGTAATCAGAATGATTCTGACTATCTGTGTATTGTTATATGTTTTTATCGTTTTCACTATACGTAAGAGAAAAGGACAATAATTACCTTTGTCGTTCTGCGTGATTTGGCGTCAGTCATGGCGTCACGCTGCACGGAAACTTTGACAATTTCTTATGAATTATCAAATCATTGCATTGTATCTATTTATAATTTCCTATTTCTTGCTACGATACTCTTTCCATGTATATTCTAAAGGTATCGAGCCATTGCAAGCAATGAATAGACGGATGAATGTTGAAAAAATTCAGAAAATGCTACGTAGTGTAAAATCGGAATTTGTCTTTGTTTACATTTCACACAAACGCAGTCTTTCAAGCACAGCGTTCGTTTTCACACCCAATATGTTTCGTCTCATTTTATCTAGACAGTTATTATTGGTGACACAGACCAGTTTCAAATTGATTCTAAAATGTATGGGGAATTCAGTGATGCATTTTTCGAAGCTGAATATGAAATATACGTGATGTAATAGGCGCCTCAATACCGGCCTTCGCGAAACGTGATTTTGTAAACACTATCCAATATGGCGGAAAGCGCTCTACGGTGTTCGTGTAAGTGCATTTTCGAAAACATCCCAACCGGTTCTAGATTCATCGGCAACGTTTCAGAATTATAATTAGCGATTTCATGTAAAACTGATATCAGTGATGATGAATAGGTTATTTTTTAAATTCAATACTCCCAGTAATTATCCGATTTTCACATTTCAAAACATACAGCAAATAACGCTGTGAATCGCGATTTCATACTGTGTCAAAAATGTCGCCATTTTCGATGAAGCCTATTTTAAAAGGTCATTTTCATCACTTGAGCTTTGTCTAAAATAATACTGGATGGTATCAAGAAACAGGAAATTTCCCCGCAGAATTCGAAAATGTGAAGTGTATTTGTGTGCGTGGGATATTTTGATTTTTATTCGACTTCAAATTCAGGGTTGAAGGGGAAGGACATTTATGTCCCTGTGGCATCCAGGGGGATTATTAAAAACCTAGTCCAAAAATTCCCGAATGTTTTCAGATTTGCTCAGTAATAATACTGCACATTTACCATAAAAAACAGTTGATAACATCTTTATCACGTAATGCCATTCTAATTTGTTCGTGAAGGAAAACTGTTATCTCAAACGGTACCAAAATAGTGTTCCTAGAATGTACACACAAATCAATTACGTCACAAGGTTAGTAGAGTGTGTTGTTGTAACATTCAGGAAATAAGACACTTTTCCTCATATGCTTTAAAACCTTGTTTTGTCAGTGATCACCTTTTGGGGCAATCCATCGGCAAAGCCAATATTACTGTGTATGTGCTCGTGGGAGAACGTGTGTCGTTCTTAAACCAGTATGAATACTTGCATGGCATGATGTCGAAAACAATATACCCTGGGGTTGTGACTGTCGAGAAGGATTTTGTTTATTTGCAGTAAGGGAATGTTTGGCCGACTGATTTTATGACATGTTGCTACCACGTGCACCTAGAATTGTCGCTAGGAATTCACTCAGCCTCGTCCCTGTACATGATCATGTCACTTGGCCTGAACGGGCAAAACGTGTAAGAAAGCAGCGGTTATGATGTTAGATGTGTTTACCGCTTTTCGTAAGTTTGCAGATAGTCATTTCGAATTCTCACCCAAACCAACCTTATCTAGGCCTTTCCTCTTTAATTTCACATCGAATTTAAAGTGGTCACAGACATTTAACCTTGCAGTTCAGGTGTTGTTCTACAGAAGGTAGATTAAGGAATATGTATCTGCACTGTATTACAAGTTAAGATGAATTTTAACTTACCCCGAAGGCCTCAATGGGGTAAGTAGTTCTTCGAAGTGTGTTGACCCACCATTCTCTGGAGGTTGTTTCAGGGACAAGCGTTGTTCTTACATAATCTGTAGTGAATAGCACGGCATGTTTTACTGAGGAGGCTGAAGGATTACCTTCACTCACAGTTTGTGATGGCAGACCAATGGCTGACGCTTTGGATGTTCTGTTTGGAGCATGTGTGACAGACACATGGGATGTTCTCTCTAGAGCATCTGTGAGAGACACGGGGAATATTCTGTCTGGTGCATCTGTATCTGTGACAGACACTGGGGATGTTCTGTCTGGAGTATCTGTGACAGACACTGGGGATGTTCTGTCTGGAGCATCTGTCAGAGATACGGTGGATGTTCTGTCTGAAGCATCTGTGAGAGACACGGTGGATGTTCTGTCTGGAGCATCTGTCAGAGATACAGTGGATGTTCTGTCTGAAGCATCTGTGAGAGTTACGGTGGATGTTCTGTCTGAAGCATCTGTGGGAGACACGGTGGATGTTCTGTCTGCAGCATCTGTGGGAGACACGGTGGATGTTCTGTCTGAAGCATCTGTGAGAGACACGGTAGATGTTCTGTCTGCAGTATCTGTGAGAGATACGGTGGATGTTCTGTCTGCAGTATCTGTGAGAGACACAGTGGATGTTCTGTCTGGAGCATCTGTCAGAGATACGGTGGATGTTCTGTCTGAAGCATCTGTGAGAGACACGGTGGATGTTCTGTCTGGAGCATCTGTCAGAGATACGGTGGATGTTCTGTCTGGAGCATCTGTCAGAGATACGGTGGATGTTCTGTCTGAAGCATCTGTGAAAGACACGGTGGATGTTTTGTCTAGAGCATCTGTCAGAGATACGGTGGATGTTCTGTCTGAAGCATCTGTCAGAGACACGTTGGATGTTCTGTCTGGAGCATCTGTGAGAGATACGGTGGCTGTTCTGTCTGGAGCATCTGTGGGAGACAAGGTGGATGTTCTGTCTGGAGCATCTGTGGGAGACACGGTGGATCTGGTAACATGGTCTGTGACTGCATTAGTGGATGTGGTTACCGGTTCTGTGATTGCCAGTGTAGATCTGGTTTCTGGGTTTTTGATTGCCAGGGTGGATCTAGCGACAGGGTCTTCGGCTGACGCTGTAGATCTGGTTTCTGGGTTTTTGATTGCCAGGGTGGATCTAGCGACAGGGTCTTCGGCTGACACTGTAGATTTGGTTTCTGGGTTTTTGATTGCCAGGGTGGATCTAGCTACAGGGTCTTCGGGTGACACTGTAGATCTGGTTTCTGGGTTTTTGATTGCCAGGGTGGATCTAGCTACAGTGTCTTCTGCTGACGCTGTAGATCTGGTTACAGGATCTGTGACCGCTATGGTAGTTTTGGTGACAGGGCCTATGACTGTCATGGACGATCTAGCTACAGGTTCGGTGACTGCCATGGCGGATCTTGCTGCATGGTCTGCGTCTGACACGTTGGGTTTAGTTTCATTATTTCTTCCTGACATGGTGGATCTGGCCTCCGATCCATTGATGACCATGTAAAATGTCACAGCAATGATGACAATACATATCAACACTACAGTCAGCTTGTTAGATGCCATGGAGAGAGAAGTGAAACCGCAGTGTTCCTATCGTTGTTGTTCCATAGACTAAACGAATCTCTTTCTAAAGACCCAAATCCATGTAAAGTTCCTGCTCACAGCCTTAAACACCACAACACCGTATTACCAGTAATGTGTAATGACTAAGCAACACTCTGGTCGAGTATTAAATACTCAGCTATTACAAAGACGGTTCTTCATCAATAATTATTATTCGACATGAATATCTCCCGCTCTGTATGAATTGTGACAAAACTCGACAGAGACTAATCGGGTGACGCTTTTAACATTATTTCTCAGGCTGGATATTGTGGCAATCAATTAAATTTATTTTTTGATGAAGTCGGAGAATTGATTGGTTTTTGAATTATTACTTAAAAGCTATAAACGCACGAGTCAACTAGTTTCACCTTTCACATGGGCTCAGTCTTTGTCCACAGAAATTATATTTTTCTGGTTGTTGCAGTATTGCAGAATGCAGTGTAAAACAAACAACAAATCATTTTGCGAAATATCTGCTTCTTACTCCAGTTAGATAAATCTTCAAAAGGTAACGAAAGTTTATATTAGTATGTCTTTAGTGGTGAAATTATCAAATTGATATATCCCTCAGACGAAACAACGCATTCTAACGAAACTATTTTCAGTGTTTATCAAGGAAAAACTAGCAAGTCATGAAATAAATTAAACATTTGGTTTGCTTTTAACAAATATTGGAATGACACTTTTCATTAAAGTACAAATTCTAGTACTTTGTTGGAGCTGAGTCCTATATGGGATTCGAACTGGAAGACACTGACAGAGTGGGGCATCAAATCGCCAGCAAACAAATATTCTCACTCTCAGGGTCATTTCATTCATTCAGGAAGGATTAATCCGCAGTTATTCATAGCTCGTTCATAATTCTCTAATTATCACATCTTGTGTTCTGACGTCTATGTCTATGTCACTCAAGACCATATTAAGTTTTTCTGGTCATTCGATGGGATAATCATTATAATCTATTGATATAGCCCCGAGTTCCTGCTAGGCTGCTCACAGGCCCTTAAACATATAAACATATTTGACAAGAACATACAGATACCCCCCATTTAGATTATGATTTCCTTGTGAAATATAGTTTCATTTAAAGCCGGATTTAAGAGTTTTTCAGTTATTTCACCGCGGATATAAGCTTGATTGGGGATGAAAGACAGGTTCCCTCCAATAAAACCTCGTTCTAAGAAACTTTAGACAAATGCCTCATACTCAGTCAAAAGTGGAAATAGTAAGTTGGTTAATATTTTCCATATGACGTCATTGAATAGTCATTTAATGTCATGGACCATTGATGACGTCAATTGAAGAGACAAAGTGTTGATATGATTTCTATGTATAAAAACTTATGACACAAGTTGAGTGAAAATGTTCTTTATTCAAAACGTCTTTTTTCTAAACCGCAGTTTGACAAATAACCTTGAAAAATATCCGTGTCGTGAGGTTGAATGTGTAGGATATGGTGAAATATGATCCGCTTGCCACTGAAATTTACGGATCTTCTACCGTTACAATGTCCTTTCAACCGGCTAAGATCATGACGAAGCGAATACGTTGTATTCATTGCAATGACTCGTCAATTTAAACATGAAAGATCGGATCTCCGATAGAACCCTTTAATGGGAGAGAGAGTATAATTGATTTTGTACATGACAAGCGCTGGGGCGGGTCACTTGCTTTGTACATAAAGTGTGTGTGTGTGTGTGTGTGTGTGTGTGTGTGTGTGTGTGTGTGTGTGTGTGTGTGTGTGTGTGTGCGTGCGCGCGCACATTCCCATTGTACATGTTTCTCCATAAAAATCACCACACACACACACACACACACACACAGACACAGATACACATGTTGTATCCTGACTTTTTCTCATTTTTCTCACGGGTAAATTCAACATTTGTCATCATCAAAATCAAGTGATGGTAGCTAGTATGAACAATAGATTATGCATGAGGCTCAACATTAGCCATCAATTGTCATGTTGATCCATTGCAGTGAAAATACAGTTCACTTGCAGAAATGCACGAGGGTTTGATGAATAATTCAGTCAATTTACCACAAAACTCCCCAGTGAGAACGAATATTTTTACAGCATACATATTACAAGAGAACGACTGTTAGACCCGGTCAAACAGAGACTAAAATATGATACATTTGTTTTAAGAGTTGAGTATTCATGTTGCCATGTATTGATTAATTCAGTACTACTGTTGCCATAAAATTACTTAGTGGAGACAGAACAATTTAATCATGTGAAACAGATCACGGGAAGAGAATCAGCAGAGGGACGAGTAGCTGGTCAATAGATCCATTTAGATGAAGCGGGTCAGGCTCAGACAGTTAAAAAAGATACCCCCACCATTCGTAGATTAGTGCGGTTTGAACCGACTATGTATCTCGAGTCGAACCTCGGTCGTTCCACATCCACATTCTGCGACGAACGTTTCCTGTCTTATCCTATCCAAGAAGCATCATACTGAGAGATGGACTGAACTGGACTGAACTGAACTGAATCGAAGTGAACTTTATTTACACTCCTGCGCGTTCTGCGGCATTAGAGGAACATGATTACATCATTATTATGTACAACTTATATATGTATGATACACAAAATGGTAATATATACACATCGGTTGTTTTGCAAGAACAAACTATATGTGTACATGCATTTAACCAGTTGAATCAACTCATGCATTATTTGGGGCGGTGGGGTAGTCTAGTGGTTAAAGCGTTCGCTCGTCGCGCTCAAGACCCGGGTTCGATTCTCAACATAGATACAATGTTTGAAGCTCATTTCTGGTATCCCCGCCTTGATGTTGATAGAATATTGCTAAAAGCGGCGTAAAACTAAACTCACTCACTCATGCATCATTTGTTTTTTCTGCATTGGGCGTTTCTTAAAAATGAGACATTATTATTTCGCAAACTATTGCTAATTACCTAACTGTTCCTAGTTAAACAGTGAAACAATTGAATTATTTTGTGCACACTCGGGTTCCTACAGATGTTGATATATATTTTTTACGACCAAGGTAGGGCCAATAAACAGAAAGTGAAAGTCATCTCCGGTATCGTTTGAATAACAAAGAGACACGGTAATGCTTTGTGAGTATGAAACCTGCGTTGTGTCCTTGATGAATGTACCTAGCTACATAACGATTAAGTTTGACGTCACAGTCAGGACACCGTTGATCAAACTAACCATTAGCAATAGGACGTCTACGTGTAAGGTAACTGTTGAAGGTATCCCGGGCATCAACAAGCTCAATTACTTTCTGAGGGAGATGGCACCCTCAACCAAGTCGCGACAGTTCTCGTCGCATGATATATGTGATTCTTATTTACCACACAGTTTGTACAGGGGGAAGTCAGCTGATTGGTCCTCTCTTCCGGACTGTCGGCTTTAACTCATTAACCAGTTAACATTAATCACCTGCTTGTTTCTCTAGCTTCCTAGATGAATAAATATGTAGACTATTCTCCTGGTGGTGTACATAACCAACATATGCCAAGATTTTTCGTCAGTCAGGTGAGATGAGGTGAAATTGGGTTTTACGTCGTGCTTGAGAATATATCGCTCGTATGACGACGTGCATGCGTGTGTATGTGTATCTGCGGCTGCTTGTACTAGCCCAGACGCAAGCTGGTTTTATAGTGCTAGCCCACTGAGATACCATACCGCAGTGAAGCATGATTACCCCACTCAGACACATTATACTGACTCCGAGCCGACCAGTTTTTGTTGTACACATTTATGCCGAGCGCCAAGCAGGAACCAACAAGTACCATATCTTAACGTCTTTTGGTATGATGCGGCCGGGGATCGAACCCGTGACCTTCCGCTCTCCGGGCGGACGCTCTAACCACTGCACCACGGAGGCGGTTTCTTCAGTCAAAACCAAGCAGAATAAGCTTATTGTCTTTAAGAAATTATTAATCACTCTAAAAGCGTTCTTTAATCATTCCGTTATCTGGTTATCGACAACAACAGATTCAATCAGAGGCTACCGAATGTGGCTGCTCGTTAACATCCAGGTTATAATTGATACATGTATCCTAATTGTGATGATCGTTGTTTGTGACGTCATAACGAGATTGTCTGACCCAAGCAGTATAACATATACAACACCGTCATAATAGCTTGATAATTACCGTGTGAGGCTTAAAGAACGAAAAGACAAACAAACCATTGTTTATTTGAATAGATTTGATAGATACAAAAAAGCATAACCATTAAAAGTGAGTGAGTGGGTTTAGTTTTACGCTATATATTCCAGCTATATGGCGGAGGTCTGTAAATAATTGAGTCTCGACCAAGTCATTCCAGTGATCAACAGCATGAGCATCGATCTACGCAACTGGGAACCGATGACCTGTGCAAACAAGTCAGCGAACCTGACCACCCGATCCCGTTAGTTGCCTCTTACGAAGAGCATTGGTTACTGAAGACTCACTCTAACCCGGATCTTCACGGGGCCATGACCATGTTATAGGGACTTATTCAGGACAGCCATCGTCCAAATATTTAAAAAATCCAAAACTATGTAGTCAAGACATGTGAGACTTTATTGTAATATATATATGACGCTAACCTGTATTCTTAATCACTACTGTACATCCTTATCACTACCGCATTGTAAATTGACTTGTCAGCCCGTTAATTATTGTATAAGACATTTATAACCTTCATTGGTAATCCCCCTTGGCCGTGTCTGCCATCACATCAACTGGTCAAGGAAGTGCTATATATTGTTTTTCTGTCTGTCCATTGATGAGTCGTCGCCTGTCAATTGTTGTCAAAAACTGTATATATACTTAGTATGCTCACATCTAGACAGTGAAGGAAAACAGAGTACGAGTTCGGTATTCCGACTGTCTGTAGGGACGACCACGAGCAGGATAATGCCGCTCGTAGGAAACGCCCTGGGGTTGAACAGGTACTCCGCTCACCTCGCTCATGTCTTGTGTGTTTGTTTGTCATGTACTAAAGACGTTTGAACTCAACTATGCCTTCGTCTTCATCAACGCACATTTATCTTAACATGAGCTAATTCCCCAGTTGACGTATAACCACGCGTTGACAACCATTTA